GTTATGAGCTTTCCTATTGTAGTGGTCGCATTGGACTTACACGGCAAGAAATTCTTTATGAGCATCCTGCAAAACAGGTATTGTATTGCACCAGTACGTTTAATTTAATGAAATTTGCGATGAATATTGCTTACAGAGGAGATTTTATTAGAGTCACATGATACATTATTAAATTCGGGTGACAACTTTTACTGTAGGCTGAATGACAAGTAGCTGTCGCATTATGTGTTTATTTTGCGTACTTACTTACTCATGGAGCTGAGCCCTTCTGGAGGAGCCGCAAATTTTGCAGTTACTCAAGAATTTCCCAGCATTTTATGGAACCCGAAGGTTCATTACCGTGTTCACAAGAGCCCTCCACTGGTCCCTATCCTGAGCCAGATCTATCTAATTTATACCATCCAATCCTATCTCTCTAAGGTCCATTTTAATATTGTCCACCCACCTACGCCTTGGTCTTCCCAGTGGTTTATTTCCTTCTGGCTTTCCCACCAATATCCTATACGCATTCCTCGTCTCCCCCGTTCGTGCTACATGCCCTGCTCACATCATCCTCCTTGACTTGATCATTCTAATTATACTTGGAGTAGAGTACAAGTTATGAAGCTCCTCATTATGCAGTTATTTTGCGTATCTCGTGTATATTAAACAAAAACATTAATATGTGTAATGAGAAACACCTATAACAGGGTCTACTCTTACCAGATGCGACGATACTTATATTTTAGGGCCTGGGGCAAAGTGGTCCACTCCTGTACGCCGCATCTATGAGCTGTTGACGTAAATTTCTGCGAAGGATGATGCAATGCAATTCTGTGCAGTTGCGAGTGATGTTACATAGTGACGACTCCAGCCTTGTAACTCTGTCAGTGATTATCACAAATAGTTACGTCTTTATGCCTTCTGTGCTCGCAGTCCATAAGCATAATGGCATGAGCTAAATTTTCTTCCCTATGTTTTATACCAGAAATATCTGAAGAATTTCGATTAAATTTCGCGTTGCGTTATAATCTAATATTTGTCGGCACATTAAATTTTGGTCCTCAAAAAATCAGAACTTGGTCTCTCCACTATTTCCTTGCGTCATTTTACATATTCCAATGAGGATATTTCTGCATTTCATAATGAGTATCTGTGACTTACTAAAGCATGAATTCGTGGAAAGTTGCATTGTATATAGAACCCTATGTTATCCACCGTTTTAGACCGTAGGCGAATGGAAGTCCTTTACAGGTGGATAGTCATCGATACGAAAACTAACGTTGCCCCGATACCAGAAAGTGTGAAACTTTAGCTATCGAATCTATGAAAGCTAGGAACATTTGCTGTTGCAGTTTACCATAGTAAAGTAATGTCGGAAGTTATATACGTACGTACGAACATATGTAACAGTACTCACACAGCTATAATTCTTCGAGTAGTTCCGATATTCAGCCATATCGGTCCATAATAAACCTATGTTTATTACATAAGCTCATGAAAGGACTTTCCCATGTATTTTCTAAAATTTTCACAGATTTTCTTTAAATTCAATATGGAAGGCTTTCACCAAACGCTGTTGGTTGATTCACATTTTTCTTTCATATCGATAGGAAATTAAGCCATATTTATTCATGGCAATAAATGGAATTTCCCTGTATTCTATAAACAATTTTATAGATTTGGTTGAAAATCTATATGGGAAGTTTCCGCTAAATTTGTGAGGAATTTTCGATTTTTAGGCTTATTGACCCACAATAAAATTTAATATTCATAATGCCTTAAAGGACTTTTCCGAGTATCCCATAAGCAGTTTCACAGATTTCGTTGAAATCTGAAGTGCGAGACTTACACTACAGGTTAAGGCGGCGCCATAGCTCGGGCGGTTAGTCGCTGGCTTCCCACCGCTGCGGCTCGGGTTCGATCCCGGGTCTGGTCAAGTTGGATTTGTGGTGGACAAAGTGGCGCTGGGGCTGGTTTTCTCCGAGTACTTCGGTTTCCCCTACTAATCTTCATTCTAACAAATTCTCCATCATCATAATTACCCGGGGCAGGCTACAATAGGCCAATCAGTGGCCACCGTGCTGGGAGGACCCAGTTGGACTCCACTCCCCCACTAAGCAAATTAAAATGAATTACACTACAGGTTGCTAGATATTTCCAATTTGCTGTCATATTTAGAACATTGTCTTCAACTTATGAGATGTCGGAATTTGTAATGCAATATATGAAGACAATATCCCCGTGTTCACTTGTAGATACTGAAGAAATCTACTAATTCTGTCATTTCAGTCACTGAGGATTACTGACATTTTGAGCAAGTGGAAGCTGTTGGTATGTCATGTTTGACATGAGTACTCAAGTACCTCAAGTATGCCTGGGTAGGGATTCAGGAAATCCATTAGACCTCAGTCACGGCCTGTGAAAGATAGTGAGCTTAGCGACACATTAAGTGTCACTAATGTACAATTCGGAGTTAACACCCAAAGACGCTACATGCAGCGGTAGAAAATCCCACATATCTCATTCACTATGGTCTGTGAGGGATATTGAGGTTATGAGAGCATGATAGATGGTAGTCGTGAACCATTTTAAGTGCATACCACAGTATTCACATTTAGGCACATGAGAAGTCCACTAAATTTCAGTCAGTACACACTGTGAAGTACTGTTGAGATAAATGGAATATGGTAGATGTCACAGATGGTCTGGTCGAAGTTAATTGCTCTGGACTCACATATATGGACTTAGAAAATCAGGTAACCCTAATTCACTACATCCTATGAGGTATTATGAGGTTGCAGGAACATGAGAATTTTCAGTAATGCCCTCTTTCAATTGTATGCGCTGGTACAGGAGTGAAGACATTGAGGAAATCCACTGTACCTCAGGCACTACCGTCCATGATGGCTTATGAGATTTCCTGAACAATATATTTTGCTGCAATGCCCTATTTGAAATCCCCAGTACTGACATGGTAACTGAGGAAATCCATCATACTTCATTTATTACTGCCATTATGTGGTTATTACATGTGGGAATGTGGAAGTTTTCAGCTTTATGTTCAATTTGATGAGCCAGTGAGGAATGTTGAGTCTGCAGGAAGATGGTAAGTAGGAGCTGAGTTTCCCACAGCTGTGGTTATGAAGAGTTCTATCTTCTGCGATATAACGCTGTGTAGTCTGTTAAAAGTTAACCAACATTTCTTAGGAACTTGTAGCTTCCACTTTCAGGATCAAAGAATAGGCCAAGCAAGAAACCAGCGTGAAGCAGGTGGCAAGGAAAGCTCTTCATGCCAGAAAAGGAGGGCGACATGTTCCCCTGAAATTTCGGTTGACTTTGAATGGACTACATGGTGTTATATCGCAGAAGATAGAACTATTGAACATGGTAGCTGTTATTAAAATACCATCTGAATTCATTACTCAACTGATAACTGAAGTTTAGTCGTTGAAACCTGTGAGAGGTGATATGGTTTCTGAAGCAGTTCAGTTGTCAGTAATGCGCTCTTAGACGTAAATATTTTCATACTCAATGACAGGGCTAGAGGAAATGCACCACACCTCAGATACAACTGCCAGTGTGATATTGGGAGGTTGTGGGAATTTTATAATTTTCAGTAATGCCCTATTAGAGGTTAACAGTCTGGAAGTCTTACATAGGGATTGAGGAACTTGATTAAACTTTTAACACTACAGCTCCAGATGGATAGAAAGGTTGTGGGAGCATGGAAGGTGTCAGTCGTGGTCTAAACATTAATCACTGCAGTCAGAGATGGATAGTGGGGTCTGGAAACTTGGTGTATATATTGATGTTTCATCACCAGAATGCAGGGTAAAATCATAAGATAAAGACAGCTAATAGATCCTTAGAAAATGTGGTACAGGTTCAGATATTTGGGAATGACAGTGACAAATGAAAATCTGCTTTAGTACATCCGACGTGGTGTTCCATTTTTTGCCATTGATGTGTAACGTGGTTAGTATTTACTCATCATATTCTCTTTATTGTGTATCACTACAAGCTTCGGCCCAAATGGCCATCATCAGGTATACAGACTGTTGTGATGAAGGGTTCTGCTGCTCATTGTAATGCTTCTCTGCTTTTCTTATGTAATTGCCTCAGACTAATTCTGTTATGTGAGTTAATGGGCTATTGCTATTCATGTGTTTGCCTTTTCTGTAATATGTGGTGGATCTTATTAGAGTTTTATTTTTTAAGGTATATATTTATGTATCGCGGTAGAGTAGTTGGTTGAGGCACTACACTACAAGCCGGAAGGTTGCAGGTTCAAGTCCAGATGAGGTCATTGGATTTTTTTCAATTGACCTATTCCTTCCAGCCGCACTATGGCCCTGGGGTCAACTCAGCCTCTAACAGGAATGAGTACCAGGAATATTCCTTGGGGTAAAAGACGGCTGGCATGTATGCGCCAACACGTGATCATATATATGTATATATATTCAGCCTCTGCCTACCTGATGTTACTTAACGGTTTTGTTTGTTTGTTGATTTATCTTTGGTTCGATGTGCTGCTAACTGGTGTTCTTTTCTTGTAGAATTTTGTATATTTGGTTATGTGTGTCGGTGTTTGTGTCATTCATTTTGTGGAGATTGAATTTGTAATGTTTGCTGTCATTCAGTCCAGAACATTTTGTCTTCTCGTATGCTGTCAAAGAATGTAGAAATTAGAATATACAGCACTATAATTTTGCCTGTTGTCTGTATGGGTGTGAAACTTTGTCTCTGAAATTATGGGAGGAACGTAGACCGAGGATGTTTGAAAACAGAGCGCTGAGGATAATCTTAGGACCGAAGAGGGATGAAGAGATAAGAGGTTGGAGAAAACTGTATATTGAAGAGCTTCAAGACTTTTACTGTTTGTTAATTATAATCAGAATGATCAAGCTAAGAAGAATGGGGTAAGCAGGACATGAAGTACTTATTGGATTTAAGCTGAATACATACAGGGCTTATGTTAGTAACTAGACATAGAGTTTGGATTGATAAATAGGTTTATTGAACGCATATAACTTGTAACAACAAATAACTATAACAATTTCACTAATCACGCTCTACAGATGACTACTGCAAGCACTTTCTTCTCAGTCCACTATGTCTTCACTAGTTGTTGCTTGGTAGCGGCGTCTAACAAAGCAACTGAAGACTGACTCGGCTCTAGTTCAGTCCAGAAAACTGCCGCTGACGCTCTCCAGATCGTTCGTTCTTGGTATCGGGCCCAGTCAGAACCTATGATTATTTTTTTTTATTCCAGCGCCTTTAAAATGTTTCAAATGGGGTCTCCACTTCGTCAACTTCGACTTCACTACAATGAATAACATTCGAGCATGATATACACAGGGCACCTGTCAATGCAGGCTTCTGCAGCAGATAGCGCCATGATTTATTTTACAACTCCGAAATAGCAGTTAGTCTCTTGAACGTTCGTAGGCCTAACCACCGCCAAATTTAAGTATCTTAGATCTCTTATGCATAGTTTCTCCTTGTTCAATCGCTCGTTCATTTGGATTTAGAGATTCTTGATTACTTTTTCCTGTCTCCTGCAGAATTCTATTATGTAATCGTACACATAAGGAATTTTGAAAACCACGTTCAAGTCGCGGACCATTGTGCACCTATCAAGATTGCCAGTGGAATGGGGAACTCGGTTCTGCAGGGACTGCAGTTTCAAGAAGAGAGCGTCCGCCGCATACATTCAGTTGGGAGAGACATACACATTTATTGAAATAATTGAGGCTTTATAAAGAACAAGTTTAATATTAATGCTTAAAAGCTCTGTCTTGAATAGAAATACATTCTTATGTATGTGCAGAGCACCTTGGATGCGGTCCTTTCGATATGGAGTCTCCATGTCATTCTCCTATTGAAGATGATTCAGCTATTGATCTTCGTTGTACAGCTTTGGCTTGGACCGCATTGAAAACGTCGCTTCTATGAATCCATTCTTCTTGCGCGTTTATTCATTGTGATGGAAAATTTTTACCAAGACATTGCTTACCAACAGCTGCTTCTATTTGTTGCAGTATTTTGGCTTTTAGCCGTCATGTCACAATATGTATTTTAGTTTTACATGGATGTCATTGTGACATCTTTTATAAGAAACAACCACTTGTAGTGTATCTTTGTGACTCCTTAAAATTTAACCCATTTAATACGATCATTTGCAATCTTACCATGTGTTGGGGCCCTAGAATTTTGTTCTGAATAAAAGTTGTTTGCCATCCCTCTTTTTGTCATTTCCTTCAAGTGATCAATTCGAGAATGAATAATGTTTTGTGTTCTCTCATTATCTTCTGTCTCGTTTTCAGAAGATCTATAGCTACTACCATGTTCATATCTTCTTGTGTCATCTTTTATCTTTGCAGGATATGGTACATGATCCAAATATCTTTGTACGCTGTCATCTTTCTGTTGATACATTTCTTGCAGCCCTATGTTGCTACCATCACTTTTAAGAGCTTTTTGAATCTTACTGGTGTAGTCATCGATATCATCATAATCTTCATCACTATCACCACTATCATCACCAAACATGTGTTTATTACCATATGGGTCTTCCTCCTCCTCAGAGTATTGTCTCTTGTCTTTGTAAGCAGAAGTTTCTCTTGTGTCATCTTTTATCTTTGCAGGATATGGTACATGATCCAAATATCTTTGTACACTGTCATCTTTCTGTTGATACATTTCTTGCAGCCCTATGTTGCTACCATCACTTTTAAGAGCTTTTTGAATCTTACTGGTGTAGTCATCGATATCATCATAATCTTCATCACTATCACCACTATCATCACCAAACATGTGTTTATTACCATATGGGTCTTCCTCCTCCTCAGAGTTTTGTCTCTTGTCTTTGTAAGCAGAAGTTTCTTCTCCAGGACTGAGTGGGTTGGAGGTCGTTGTTTTGTAGCGTGATTTAAAAGAGTTAACAATTTTATGGCCTCGGATAGGTTTCCATGAATTTCGTGAATTGCTTTCCTCTTTATATGTAATTCTGTGATGGTTGGGACTATTTTTCTGTGCCTTAAAAGAGTAAGTATCAGGAGATAAGCCCTTTTTTATTCTTTGATCTGTCCTGACATCAGCAATTTCTGGTCCATTTTCAGGTCGTTGTATTCTCTGTACTGTGTCAGAAAAAAATCTGTTACTAGAAGTGAGACCAAGATCTTCTTTCTGTTTAGTTTGTGGATACTTTTTTGACAATTTTCTTTGCCAAGACTTCTTATAACGTGGCGAGAGCGAGATTTTCTTTGGAACGTCAAATTCTGAATTTGCTGGCATTATTTCTTCAGATCCATGAGATGTATCCCCATATGAGTCTTTAGTTCTTCGTTTGTCATACATGAATAACAGATCTGAAGGAATGTTGCTCTGTAGTGTGTCATCAGATGCAGCTTGGGTTTGATCAGGTACAGTCTCCCTAAGAACATAAACAACAAGATCACATAATTGTACCTTTCCTTATTTACAAGTGTGGAGGGGGCATAGCAGTGAGATAATAATACTAAACAATGATCAATTAAAAATAGTTCTGTCCTATATTTTCCTCAGAATAATCTGTCTAAACATAAGTATTATATTCTTCATGGATGTGGTGCAGCATTATTTTTAGATGGATACCAGCAGTTCAGAGGAGCATGCTGCCTTCTTCTCCAGCATTGAAGGAGTACGAGTAGTGTGACATCCCAAAAGACAACAATCACAGGGCTCACCACCATGAGAACTTAGACCTTTCTATCCAAAAATATTTTTACTTTTTCCTCCGAATGTTTTCTGATATTATGCTGAACGTGTAGAAATACATACTTTAGATATTCCAGATGTTTTGATTGTTTATTATTCTGCATCTATGATGGGAAATTTCCGCAGATAAGAACCAGTTTTGAAAGATAATAAATAACACAAATATTAGGGAAAATCATTTATATATCAGTAAAGTGTAATGTTCTAGTCGGTAAAGTTCAGTCAGTGTAGAAAATAGGCTACTGGTTGGGCTGCCGTTGTTCAGTTATCGACACGAGTTTTCTCTATGCCTCAGCATCAAGAATGGCTCTGCCCCCACACCCACCTTGTTTCAGATAGTCAAAGGGGGCAATTTATCAGGGGCAAAACGGCCGAGGCCTGAAGCTGAACACTGATCTGTATTGTATGCGATGTCCCTGTAATTTTATAGTGTGTTATATTTAGAAAATATATCAAATTAATTTGAAAGTGTTTATGTCTTTATGGTTTATTTACTGACACTCCCAGTATCTTATACTAGCACCGAGTGGTGCTAATAATAATACTAATATTAGTTACCTTCCAGACACTACTCCCATTCAGTATTTAATGAAAACTTTTATAAATCCCTTTCAACATATTAAACTCAAATCTTTATGAAGTAAGGAAGTTGAAAATATAATTAAATCTCTCAAAGCAAAAAACTCTTATGGATATGATGAAATATCCAATAAAGTATTAGGAATGAGTTCTTTTTTCATTAGCTCTCCTTTGACTCGCATATGCAACAATACATTATCACAAGGAATTTTCCCAGATCGTTTAAATCAATTTAAATCAAATATTTCCAACTATAGGCCTATGTCACTTTTAACTTCGTTCTCTAAGGTATTAGAAAAAGCTATGAGCATTCAATTGATTGAGCGCTTAAATAACAATAACATTTTAGTGGAAGAAGATTTTGGTTTTAGAACAAAATCTTCAACGGATGAGGCTATATACACATTAGTGAATGAAATCTGTAAGACCTTAAACAGCAAAAACTTAATAGGAGGTATTTTTTGTGACCTAGAAAAGGCCTTTGATTGTGTTAATCATGAGGTTCTGTTGTCAAAATTGGAGTTCTATGGGATGAAAGGTAAAGCTAAACTATGGCTTGAATCTTATTTCAGAAATAGATATCAAAGGGTTTTAGTTACAAATATAAATCTTAATCTCAATGAATTTTTGACATTGGGCAAAATTAGACATGGTGTCCAGCAAGGTTCGATTCTGAGTCCATTGTTATTTCTCGTTTATATAAACGATTTACCAAAAAAACTATAAATGATTAAACTGTACCTATATTATTTGCAGATGATATTAGTTTGTTAGTTAAGGTTCAACCTATGATGATCTCTGTGTAAATATAAATAATGCTTTTCATAGTATAAATGAATGGTTCAAAGTAAAC